CTTTTCAACAAAAGAGAAAGCTGTAAAAAGTTACCTGATTAGACGAACACACCCTCTTGCAAATTTTAATTACTACTTCTTCACATAGGCAAATTTACTTTGATGCACTATATAAAAAGGTTTTGAATCTTCTGAAATTGCAATACTTATTTGATCTCTGCTTTGATTCTTGTGTATTGGGTGTTTATTATCTTTCCATTTTAATTTAACTTTACTATAAATAGAAAGTAAACCTTCATAAACTAGTCTTTCACACTATTCAGTACTAATTGGTTAGTAGTAGGGATTAAAATATATTTTTGCAGTTTAATTTAAATTAAAAACATTCGTGTGACTGTAGATTTAAAGTCTCGCTCTATCATCTAATTAAGGAAAAAATCTGTAAAATATATTTTGATATTTTACTTAACCTTTTATCATTAGTAAACTTTGATGAAAATATGAGGCAAATACGGATCCTAACTGATAGTACGGACCATACGTGTTAATTGAACCTGGAGTTTAAAAAGAAACTTTAAACTACGATAATTTATTTCCAGCTGTTCTCTTGGATCACTGGATGTAAAAAGCAGCTTAATTTAATGATTTTGTTTTATGCATAAATTATTGTGAGCGTTTTTGTGTAGTTGTGATAAAGCGAACAGTTTCCTTCGAAAGTTTATAAAAGTAATATTTTGTGTTTTTCGCAACACAGATATGAGGAACTTTTTTGCTACATATATTTGAAAATGTACGGTTTAAAATTACGATATTTATGTATTTGGGTAAAATAATAAAGGTAATAATTATCCAAATGAATTAAGTTGATTGAAATTTTGTTGCGTAAAGGACTATGAAATGAACTTTGATTCAGTATTGAAAAATACACACTTTAGAAATGTATTCTGAAAATAAGGGTACTTTTTTTGAATGTGTGAGTCGTTTAGAAATTGATTTGTGTTCGTCTTTAATTAAATTTGAGTATTGCAAATGATTTAATATTAAATTTGATGTTATGACTTGAGTTTTATAACTAAAACTTCATTTGTTTTTTTGTATTTTTATTTGTAATATGTATATAAGAAAGGAAACCCCAGCAACCCCATTTTCGATTATGCTTTTTTATATAGATATCGCTACTGAATATATGTTATTTTTTTAAGTTTGTTATCGTCTTTGGCAACATTTGGACTGGTATGGCTATTTATGAATGAGAACCTTGTATAGTATGTGTTCCATATATGTACTCTGTGAAACCTTTGGTGATATTTGTTGATGGTTTCGTATTAAATAAATAAGTATATGATCGATACGTGGTTATAACTAAAAACAATAAAAAATCGAATGTTCTCGAAAGTCGTGTCTCTTTGATTTTATAACGATAAATAATTCAATGCCATCACCGATGTTTTGTGTTATTTTTCACGTTTCTTAAGTTTATGCAGTGCTTAATGATGGGAACATCTAAAAAATTCTAATTGTTGAATAAAATGTTTCCCAATATTCACTATTAGATGCGAAGGGTATAAATACTATTTCGTGACGTATAAGGATCTTCAAGGTTGGGTTCTGTTATTTCCTGTACCTAATGGGCCTTATGTTTTTCTTTTCTTTTTCAACATGATTTGTTAGGTGAAAATACTTTTCACGCCTGTCTTCTTTCACTAAAAGGTTTCATTAATTCTGATTTAAAAATACAATCTTACTACTACTACTACTTATTCATTTTTGAATTACAAGTGGCCGGACGTGACCAAGCGATTAGCGTACTGGTCTGTAAATCCGATGGTCTAACTTCGCGTCCAGTTGCTGCAGAATTGTGCTTTTTACCTTGGGGACATGATGGCCACTATGGTCTATGAAACCGATGATCTAACTTCGCGTCCAGTTGCTGCAGAATTGTGCTTTTTACCTTGGGGACGTGATGGCCACTATGGTCTGTGAATCCGATGGTCTAACTTCGCGTCCAGTTGCTGCAGAATTGTGTTTTTTACCTTGGGGATGTGATGGCCACTATGGTCTGTGAGTCCGATGGTCTAACTTCGCGTCCAGTTGCTGCAGAATTGTGTTTTTTACCTTGAAGACGTGATGGCCACTATGGATTTAGTTATTTTTCCAACAAACAATTTTCATTCTATCAATATCAGTATTTATGTTATATAATTTTATAATAATTAATCACTTCTGACTAATAATACTTTTTGTTTACAATCACTTTCTATAATCAATAAATCAGAATTATTATTACTGTTTCAGCGCACAGCTACACAATGGGCTATCTGGGCTCTGTCCACTGCGTAGAATCGAACTCGGATTTTCGCACTGTGAGCCCGCAGATTTATTGCTGACCCTTTAGAAGATCCAGAATTATTGTTCTTTGTTTAAAAACAGGGTAGGAGCGACGTGTTTGCCGTTCTGTGCAAACGCTGACTGTACCGCTCACCTTCCAACGAATTTACCGTGAATTATCTGCAGGTAACAGAAGAGTTACGGTACCGCTTTACCTTACAGTGTCGATTCTGCTTGACGGGGAAGGTTTCGCTTGGCCAGAGAGCTGCTGGTGACCAGAACCAATTTTTTGACCTTCATTTTTGTCACCCTCAAGAACCTGCCGCTCTGTGCAAATACACGGGCTGCATACCCGGTCGTGACGGCTCTGTTTAAGAGTGGAGTTTTCATCTTTTCTTCGCTAGTTAAGGTTCAAAATAAATATATTTTCATTTTAAAACTAAATAATAACTACCTTTGTTTTTCGTAGTGACTCTCTGGTTTGGTCTAGAGCCGCAATTACACACCGTTTTAAACATTTTATTATTTCGATTAAAATTAAAAACCTGGCATTAAAAGAATTGTAATATTTTGCGATATTGGATTTGTTTAAGTTAAGCGCAAAGCTACACAATGGACTATCTCAGCCCTGCCCGCCACGTGTGTCGAACCACGGTTTTTAGTGTTAGAAGCTTTCGGATTTACTGCTGAACCATGGAATATGAGCCATGTGATCATGGAATATAGGGTTATTTGCCCATATATGTCCCTAATTTCGTACTTGTAGACTAGAACGAAGGCATCTAGTCAATAGCATCCATCGTTGACTCTTGTCTGACCGAACAGTGGCGTTTCACCGTCATTCTTACAGCACACACACAGCCTCAAAGTGCGACGCGTTTTTCCGGCAATGGGAAACGAACCATGAATCCTTAGGTTAGGTTTACTAATCACTGCCCCCCCCCCCAGTAGCACAGTGGTATGTCTTCGGACTTACAACGCTAGAAATCGGGTTTCGCTATCCGTGGTGGGCAGAGTACAGATAGCCCTTTGTGTAGCTTTGTGCTTAACTACAAACAATTGAAATGATCTTTCTTATTTTTGAATTATTTTGTTTCTACACAATATAAAAAAATATATTGATAAAACCTGGTGTTAGTCTTAGATATTTTACTTCAAAACAAAAATTACACTATTGTTCAAAACAAGTTTATTTCATAAGCCAGACTTTGTTTAATCGGTGATCCCTTTATTGCTATTTACCAAGTTTGAAAAAGATAGATACAGACCTAAATCTGTACCTTCATTAATCCATTTCTTTCTAATGAAAGTAAATGTTCTTTAAGTTTCTCATAGCTCATTCGAGCATTTTCTAGTTTGTCAGTTTGAAATAATTTACCAGTTAATAGGTCATTCAATACATGTGGATATATAAAACGGTTTCATTGCGCGAGTAAAACATGCTCAGAACATGAGCAGAAGTGTATAAAGTGATTGTTCAGACCCTAAATTCATA